AAACTGTAGGAAAATACATATAGGAATGGCAAAAATGAAAGACAGAATCACATCAATCTATTTACTTATGCTGTTATTTCAATTTCTGTTCAGACATTTTTGCAGAAGCTATTGTTTGGATATATCGTACTAGTTATTTGATATGCTAGTGAGGGGACATAATAATAATAATAATGTAGTTTATTCATACAGTAGAATATAAGATACCCTAGAGGTGGTGTAAAGAGTATTGGTAGTGATGGGATATTGTAAGCAATAATGGGATAATGTAAGCAGCGGAAGTCTATGAAGTGTATTAAAGTAGCTTAGCATGACTAGAGAAAAGCCTAAGTTTTAGTGTCGCTGGCGAACGACTACGAATAAGAAGCACGACTGAAAAACAATGAAGGAAGCTTACCTGGGTTGTAGAGCAGACGTGTGTATTGGAAGGAAGTAAGCAGGAGAAGAAGTGTGGTAAACAAGATGGCGTACAGTATTGGAGATTTGCATATAGGCCGCGTATAAAGAGAGAGTTGGTATCGAGCTCGTGCGTTCGCTCGTTCAGTCGCTCGTCGCTGGTCGGTAGAAGAAGAAAGGGGAAGGGAATTGTAGATGAGCCAGTAGGTGCCCGAAGGCATCATTAAGCCTAATGAAGGCAGCAATGTAGCTGTGCACGAAGAAGTGTGTAGAGGGTCTTGCATGGTGAGCAATAGGGAGGTTTTTTTTGGCCATCAATATGGAGAAATAGGTGGGTTTAGTTTGGGTGCTACCATGTAGGGCCAGACCTGGTGGCTTGATCGGTGTTTGGGCACCCTCACAGGGAGTTTCGGAGGCCAGTGAACGTGTGGCCCAAGGGCGAGGAGCGAGTTGGAGGGTGCCCAAGCACTTCTATTAATGTGTTTCTACTGCAGGAGGCTATGCCGGTGGGCCATACGGTTGGGTTTCCTGTGGTTTCTTGACCATCATTTAAGGGGGCAGTGTGGCCGTTACTGTTTTGGCGCCAACGGTTGGTTGTTTTGGCGCCTAAACTTGGGCACGCGCGTCTAGATCTGTCTGTCTGTACATCAGGCTAGGGGCCTCGTGACGTGTCGTTGGTCACGTACTCTGTTTTTCATGCACTAGGCAGCGAGAGGGCTTTTTCTCGCCAACCCATTAGCGGTGTCTGGCCGTGTCTAGACAGTGTTTTTTATCGCTCAATAACAGAGCCGTTTGCATCGCTCGTAAAGAAGACTTTTTAACTCGACTTTTCTTCGATCGCACAACCTTTCTCGACTTGGATATTGGTTCTATATGGGTCTTAGAATTGCTGAAGGGCGCTCATCATTGACTTCAAGGGCTTTAGTGCTTCTAAACTGCGAACAACTTACGACAAGAAAGGACTGAATTCTGCTTCGATCAACAGATCGATAGATCAATGCGAAGACTTAACTCTCTTCCTTGCGAGCCGAATTGGAGCTCATTCAATCCGTCAGTGAGCTTCTTCAATCACTTCGTGAGCTAGATAACATTGATAAAAAGCTTCTTCGATCGGTCAACAGCCAGCCATTCCACTAGCTCAAGCGGCGAATCGCTTGAACAAACAACTCAATCAAACAAACAATCAATACTTCGAWGCCTCAAGTCAAGACCCAACTAGTTTGATATTTCAAGTGTTTATTTATTCTAAGATGTGGATACTTTATATATCTTTGATTCGCTTAGTAGCCAGCTATAGCTTTTATTCCCAGTTCTTGATTTATTTTAACAGCAGTGATTTATTATGGTTTCGAAAGCGCTTAGCGGCTCGCTCAATGTCATTGTTTAAGTTACTTTTAACTCTTGATTTAGACGATCACAAACAACAACAACAAATAGGGAAAGCAGCTT